GCCATTGGCCATGGCCTGTGCAGCCTGTGCAGGGCTTGGGTACTGGGACTGCTGGGTGCCCCCTCCCCCTTTTCCTAGGGGAAGGGGGGGGGGCTGTCTGGCCGTCCGTCTGGCTCCGCCACCTGCGTGACACTTCGACGGCGCCCCTGTCCCCGCGGTGCCCTGCCTGCCCTGCGCGCCCCGATCATGCTGTGGGGGTTCTGCCCAGCATCTACGGGGGGAGGGGGGGGGGCCGGGCGCACGTGGCTAGGGGTTGATGCGCGGTGGGGAGGCGGGGCCCTAGGCGGGGCCCCCAGTGGAGAGAAGCCGCAGTCCTCTGTAGGGGGCGTGGCGGGGCGCGGCGTAGTGGGGCTGGCTGGGGTCAAAGCCGCCGCCGGCCGCATGCTTCCGACCCGCGACCTTGAAACTTTCTCTTTGTTTTATTTGGTTGCTTTTTCTTCCCCTCGTCAATGTGACTCCTCGGGCAGGGCTCTTCATCATCTGCAGACGATGAACTCTGTCGGTGCCGCGCGGGGCGGTGGCGGGGCGGTGGCGGGGCGGTGGCGGGGTGGTGGCGGTGGGGGCGGGGGCGTTGATGGCTACATAATGACTTCATTACGCGCGCCGCTCCCTGCGGGCCGATTGCGAACAGTGCTTCATCGTCGCCCTGTCTCTCTCGCACCCCGCGGACCGCCCCCTCAGTGCGAGAGACACGACGTCGAGGCACTGTCCGGAATGAGCCTGCACTCTACCAAAAATGACCTGTAAATGCCGCTAATTTATTACCAGCTTTCACTGTAGGTCAATTCACAGCGTTTACTGTGAACTGCTCAAGGGATTCACTGTGATCTTTTTCGCGGTATTCACTGTGATCTGGTCCCCAGTAAACACTGTGAGTTTGACGCCGCTGAGCACCGAAGGACTGCAAATCAGGCTCCAATTCACGGCGTTTGCTGTGGCCGGATCACAGTGAACACTGTAACCGAGATCACAGTGAACGCCGTGAACTAGTTCACAGCAAACGCCGTGAATTGCATAACAGCAAACATTGGTAATAAATTAACGGCGTTGACAGGACATTTTTTGTAGAGTGTGCAGGGAGGACGCGGTTTTTGTGGGAGGGGGCTGCACAGGCTGCACTGCACCGCGGCGGTCTGGCCCTGGCGCCTCTGGGGCCGGAGGGTGCGGGGGCGCCGCGGCGTGCCGCGACCGCTGACCCCGCGTCGTGTCTGGCGCACTTCTCGTCGGGGCGGAGGGAACGGGGAACGGGGTGGGGTGTGGACTCTTGGCCCCTGCATGCCCCGCCTCGGCCCGCCTGCTCCAGTCTGGCTGTTCAAACAGGGCTTCCCCCGCGAGGCCGCCGAGGCCGCCGTCGACCGAGTCGACACTGGTGCCAACCCGGCCAGCCAGGCCAGCCCAGCGGCGCAGTGCGGGCACCGCCGTGGCGCCATGCAGGGGTGGCGCCTACCCCCCGCCCACCCCGTGGCCTCGAGGGGGCGTCCCCCGGCGGGGCGGGGCGGGGCGGGGTGCGGCGCCCCCAGCGCGGGCCGCCCGCCGCCGCCGCGGCCTCGTACTATCGGGTGGTGGCGGCGATGGTCAAAATTGTGAGCCTCTTTGCGGAAAACAAGAGAGATACACGCAGTGACTGGCGTGGCAGGGCGAACACGATGGGACGTGCGCCAGTACCGGGGCCCGTCCTCTTGCGAGGCAGCGAAGTGCTTTTTCCCCTTTTTGCTGACGGGTTGTCTCGTGCGGTATTAGTCGCAATTGCTTTTTTGCCATGTCATGCCGCGCTTGGGCTGGGCCGCCTTTGGGTGTAGTGCGTACACGGCGTGGCGTTTGAGTCTCCGCATTTTCGGGGAATGCCCGGCAGGCCGCTTGGTGGCGGCCCCCGGGCAAGGGGAAGGGGTGGGCGGACTCTGCCCCGGGAGGCAAGACGAGGAAAGGCAAGGCGGCCCTGTGGCCCAGCGCATGTCTCCATGTGCACGCTGTGCACGCTGTGTATACATGCCATGCGTTTGGCGCGCTATGGGGCGTGGCCGCGGTGTCGCGGGGCGTCGCGGCCCGCGGCCACGGCGACGCCTTTGAAGTAGTGGACCGCGTCGGCCCCCCGGCCAAACGGCCGCCAGGCACCGCGCCATCAGGGAGGGACTTTGCGCCGCTAATGCTGATGGCTCGACTTGCTGCGGGCTGGCTCCGAACTGGGCTCTGCTCTGTCTCTCTCGCACCCCTACGGCCCAAGCGACCCAAGCGGGTCGCCCCAGGTGTGCGAGGGAGTGCGGAATCTAACTGCTGGTCATAACGGCCGCTCTTTCTCTTCCTGCGTGCGCTGCGAGCATTAGGGGAGCGTCCTTGAAGCCTGACCGCGGCTTAGGTCCTCCCGGTATTTCTAATCCCTCGTCCTGCCCGCACGACACGGCCGTGGCATGGCGGCCCGCTTCGCCGCTTCGGCGTACTGTGTGCAGTGGCGGATCCAGAGGCGGCCTATGGGGGGGGGGCAAAGTCGCACTTTTTGCATACTTACAGGGGCAAAGTAGCACTTTTTGCATACTTTCAGGTGGCTATCTATGGGGCTATGGGGGGGGGGGAAACCCCCATTGCCCCCCCCCCTGTATCCGCGCCTGACTGTGTGCTGCTTCTCCCCGGCAATGCTTGCCCCAGGGCCTCGCCCAGGGCTTACCCCATCTGCAGAGACAGCAGCCCGTCTGCTTGCAGGGTCGTATATTTGACTTTGCAGGGAACGAAGGGCCCAATCAGCTGTTGTGACATCGCGGCTGCGCTCCATGGATGTGCTATCTCGCGGCCTCGTCAGGCCTCGCCGGGCCTCGCCGGGCCTCGCCGGGCCTCGCCCTCGAAAGGTCGAGCACCTGGCCGTCGTGGCGGCCTCGGCCTGCACGGCCTGCATGGCCTGCACCTTGGTCGCAGCACAAGTGCCCGCTTCGCCCCTACCCCCCGTGACGCCGTGCCCCCCTGCCCCCTCCCCGTCGTCGTGGTGGGGGTCGGTAGGGCAGGCATGAGTGCTGTCCTGTCCCCGGCGGTCCCCGGCCCAGGGCTGTCCGCCGTCCCGTCCCCGTCCTCCTCGCCTGGCTCCACCGCGCCGCACCGCCAGGCCGCAGCGCAGCAGCTCCGCTCTGCCGCGCTGCTCTGCTCTGCTCTGCTCCGCGCCGCGCAGTCGTGTCTCGTCTTCGGCGCCGTCCTGCCGTGCCGTGCCTGCCGTGCTCGAGCGCTCCTGGCCGTGCTCGCGGTGGTGTTGTGGTGCCGCGTTGTGTTGTGGTCCGCGCGGCGCTCCCCGCCGCCCTCGTCCAGCACCCTGTCGACCAACAACAGCAAGCCCATGCTCCGCCGGAACTCCATGTTCCAGCGCGAGCGGCGCGTGTCCGTGCGCATAGGTTGGTTGGCGTGCGCCGAGCGCCGCGCCGCGCCATTCGCCGAGCGTGGCCGTGACGGCCGTGTCCGGCAGCGGCGAGGCGTTTGACGGACGGGAATGCACGCCACGTCGGCCCGCGTCGCAGGGTTCTCCTGTGGATCTTCGCCTCCTCGGACGTCACCGCGGCGCCGCGGCTTACGGTGCAGGCGTCCAGGTCGCCGCCGTGCTCGTGCGAGCGCGGGCCGTCCGTGGGGCATGGCGCCGCGGGCTGGCCGGGGCTGGCCGTGCAGCAACAGACGTCCTCGTGTTGACGAAACGAAAGGCCACCACTTTGTTGTCGCGCTCGCCTGGGACAGTGTAGGGCCTGCGTGTGTGGCGACACGCGTTTGGCCCCGTTCGGCCTCCAAGTACAGTACGAAGTACGAAGTGTCCCAGGCGAATTAGGGTGTGGTGTGGTGTCGGTGTCCCCATCCGCTATCCGCATGTAAATGACCCAACGGCGCGGTGTACTGTGCATCGCGTGGCTCGGCGGCGCCCCGCTACCCCCCCCCCCTCCTTTCCCATTCCTTTTCTGCACCTCGAGACCTGAGACCCGGGCAGTTGGTCTTCTTGACCAGTGGCCGCCATCGCCATGCTGCACCCCCCTCCCCTTTTTGGTGGTCGTCCTTGAGGGTCCTTTGATGCTGGGCTCGTTGCTGCAGGCCTCTGCTTTGACCACCCCCACTCCGGGGGGGCGCTTTCCGGAACCGCTGCACTGCTGCACATGAAGACCCCACCGCCACCGAGGCAGAGGATCGCACTGGTTCTTACTTGGTACTACTGCGCTGCCGACTAGGCGGGAATGACGTTTGGCAATCCCTCTGCCGTCACCTGGCAGGCAAGCAAGGCGGGGCGGGGCGGGGCGGGGCGGGGCCTCTCATTGGCAGCGCTTCGCCGCCCCCGCCCCGGCCCGGCGGACTTCCCTGCCGTGCGGCCGCTTCCTACCTCCATGGTTGTGCCGCCTCGAAGAAGGCCTTCTGCAAGTTGGTCTTCGCGCAGGGCACGCAGGTGCACGCAGGGCCACGGCGTGTCCTACCCAAGCGCGCCTTGTCCTCTTCGACGGCCTCGTTGTAGTCCCGCGGGATTCCTCGCAGTGTGGGTCGTCTGCGGGCTTGTGGTTGTTTTGTCAGTCGATCCGACCCGACAGCTGCAGTGCAAGTGCAAGGGACGGCGCCATGGCGGCGCCCCCAACTGTCCCTGCCGTGTAGTCCGACTGGTGTGCGTCCGACGGCCACCCCTCGCACTCAGGCGCGGCGCAGGGCGCACACCGGCCCGGGCCAACCATGACACAGGGCCACCCACGCGGCTGAGATCGGTGCGTGGCGCGTCGCGCCCCCACGACGGACTGGCACGGGGACGGGGAGGAGGAACACCGCAGATGCTCGAGTGTCTCTCTCTCTCTGTCTTCCCTGAGGTCAAGACCAGGGCCCCTAGAGGGGAAAGGGGTGGTGGTGAATTTTTAAAGCGGTTTCTAAGTTGGAGGCGTCGGTTCGGAGTCGAAAATTCCGCACATCGTCGAAATAACGAGTGGTCCCGTCGTAGCTGTGGAAAAGCAGCGTCCGCTTGGTTGTTTGCTATTTATAAAAAAAATAACTTTTTGTTGTGTTGGTTGCAGGGGAACGAGCCAACTATGTCAACAGTCCTCATGTCATTGCCATGGTGGGCCTCCCTGCCAGAGGCAAGACCTACATTTCCAAGAAGCTCTCTCGTTACTTGAATTGGATTGGTATCAATACTAAAGGTAAGTGGTCTTCAATCAGGTTGCCCTGCGCGTTTCACAATGTCTTTCTTTTGTAATGACTAGCGACTTTTCTTTGCGCAGTATTCAACCTGGGAGAGTATAGACGGCATGCAACAACTGCCTACAAAAGCCATGACTTTTTCAGACCTGACAACAAGGAAGCAATGGCCATTCGAACACAATGTGCTATTGATGCTCTTCAAGATGTGGGCTCGTGGCTTGAAGGAGGAGGTGAAGTTGCTGTTAGTATTTTTTTATCTCAAAATAAATAATCTTGCAGCCACATCTACCAATGCAATTTCAATTCAATCTTATCACTTATCACAGGTCTTTGATGCAACTAACTCTACCGAAGATCGACGCCGAATGATTCATGAGATTATTGTAAAGAAAATGGGGTACAAGTTGTTTTTTGTAGAGTCCGTTTGTGATGATCCTAAGATCATCGAGCAGAACATCATGGTAAGCTAAATGCTTTTTTCCTGTTTTCAAGTTCCTAAGTTCGGTCTCTTTGGTTCTCCCGCATAACAATTTTTTCCAGTTGGCACTGGTTACTGCTTTAGCTGGTCTGAGCATTCACAGAACAAAGCTCATGTGCTATCACAATGCCTTGTCTTGGTCATTTAATATTCTATTCTCACTCCCCAGTAATCTGTGTATTCCTGCTTTGTGAGCCTTTTCTTCTCTGAGAGATGTTAGTGTATCCATCAAATAGCATTTGTGATTCAAACATTTAAAAACATAACGGGAGAGATGTGGCTTGGCTCCATTTCCAATCATTCCCAATCTATATTCAGTTGTTGAAATGTGTTTCTTGCTGTGCAGGAGGTGAAATTCAACAGTCCAGATTACAATAATAGATTGGAAGATTACGGTGAACCTACATCAGGCGGGGAAGTACGTTACACGTTTTGATTCAAGACAGCTCCTGTGTGTGGTGGTCCCTTTTCACTTTTTAATTTGGCGAGATCTTATTCTATTTAAGTTCCTCAAACAATGGCATTCTTTTATTGAAATGTCTTAATTTTTTTCCTTCTAGTATTTTGGTTATAAATGTTATTAAATTTGTATTATTCTTCTAGACTCACCTAGGCAACTTAACAAATTTATCATTTTATTTGGGGATAAGAGACTTGAGATAAAGAAGGGATTCATATTATGGAGCTGTTCATTATGGGAACACATTTTTTAATGTGCCTGGCTATTGCAGGCTGACACTTAGTAGCTCCATTCCACTAATTTAACAATGGTTCAATTATACCAATGTACAAGGGCTACAGTCTCCTTACTCCTTTTTGCATAATTTTGATGAATGTGAGGTAACTTACTTCCTATGTCAGGAAAAAATGTGAGCGCCCCACCCCTATTAATGTTGCCCCTAGCTCGATGCGTATTGTATACTAACATTCTCAATGAAGATTTCCTACAACTGGTGGCCTTGTATGATTTTCATTCTGTCCTGCTTCTCATTTCTATGTTTATTTATTTCTCTCAATTTTGGTGTCATTATCATTACCTGATGATTGCAACAAGATCATCAGGGACATTTGTTTTAAGTTTTAAAGGGTAGTTTTTGGAACATTATCACATCAGTTGACTTTGCATCAAGATCTCGTCTGTTCAAAAAATTTATAATTTAATTTTTTTTAAAATATTGTTTTCATTAGCATTTTATCATTTGACTTGGACATGTCAATCCTATAATAGTCTTCTGCCTTAAAAATAAAACTTCCTCATTTTTTTATTTCAGGAAGTGAAGGTCAATAGCCCTGATTATAAAAACATGAACATGGACATGGATTCTGTTCTAAAGGACTTCTTAATGCGCATTGAACATTATCAAGAACGTTATGAACCTTTGGAAGAGAATAGAGAAAAAGACCTGTCTTTCATGAAAATTTACAACACAGGTACTACTAATGACCATGTATTTTATTTTTTGTCTTGGTGACAATTTTCAGTTTGCATTTTATCATTTATCTTTTCAGGGGAGAAAGTAGTTGTTCACAAACATGAAGGCCACATTCAAAGCAGAATTGTCTACTACCTCATGAACATCCACATAGTGCCTAGGACCATCTACTTGACGCGGGTAATGTGTTACCACTACATACATTTATACAACAATGTGTCTGTACAATGTTTGTCAGTTTGTTTCTTTTGAACTTTGCAGCATGGTGAAAGTGAGGAAAACCTTAGGGGACGAATTGGGGGAGACTCTGACCTCTCATCCCGTGGCCAACAGTATGCAGAAGCACTCTCCCGCTTCATTCAACAACAGAACATACCAAACTTACGAGTTTGGACTTCATGGCTTAAAAGGACAATTCAAACTGTTGCTACCATTCCAGCACCCCAAGAACGCTGGAAAGCTTTGAATGAAATTGATGCTGTGAGTATTGAACATTTTAAGTTTCTGAAACCACATTCTATTTGTCTTACAATCTAACTTTCTCTTGTTCACAGGGTATATGTGAAGAAATGACCTATGAGGAGATTGCTGAGAAGTACCCAGAGGATTTCACTGCTCGTGATGAAGCAAAATTCACCTACCGCTATCCTAGAGGAGAATCGTATGAAGATCTCGTTGCCCGCTTGGAGCCTGTTATTATGGAACTGGAACGCCAAGGCAATGTTCTTGTTGTAAGCCACCAGGCAGTCATGCGATGTCTTCTTGCCTACTTCTTGGATAAATCAGCAGGTTTGTTGGCTTTTCTCTTCCCCTTGTGTGAATCAGACACCCTCTTTCTCATCTGGTTCTTCACTGTCCTAAACTGCTTGTATATTTTTAATTTTACATTTCAGATGAGTTACCCTACTTGAACGTCCCATTACATACTGTGATAAAGTTGACACCTGTTGCATATGGTTGCAAAGTGGAATATATCAAATTGCCCATCGAAGCAGTAGATACACATCGAGCCAAGCCCAAGGTAGGACGTTCAACATAAATTGTGTATCGGTTTTTTAAGTTTTTCATGTCAAAACTTCCCTTTTTTTGGCTGTATGTTTGGCTGGGGGACTTCAAATTTATGTTTTTAAAAATTTTCCTATTTTTGTGGTTTGTTGTATATAATTTTTTGCAAGATCAAACATCCAAGCTACTAAAAGTGTACTTTCCACACTATTGTGGTCTTGTCTTCTTTCTGTTTTGCTAATAGTCTACTAGATGTAGGATTTATACTTTGCTTGATTTATTCCTTGTTTCCTGTGTACTATTTCTTTCAACTAATCTTTCAGTGGAACTGTGTGGGTCTGCACAAATGCATGTTGTATAGTATAGATTGTTTTGTTCTGATGTTTTGGGCTCTCTGGTATCCTATTCCTTTATTAATGTAGTGAGGTCTCCTTTCTTATTAACAGACTACAGATTCAGTATGGTACACAGCTCTGTCGGCTGAAGTAAGAATTCAGAATTCTCATTGTGGTGACATAGTGGGTTTGTTTTGGTGGATGCATTTGTTGAAATTTTGTTGCTACTCTTAACAGAAATCATATTATTTAAGTCTTGAAATAATGTTGAATTTATTTCCTGTAGAAATTAACTTTTCTATCCAGTACATGTATTTGATTTATAACTATTGGAGAATTTGAAAGTTCTGTTCTGTTGTCTCAGGAAACTTCACCAGTCAAAGCACCTTTGCAGGAGAAAAATAATTTCAACGTAACTCAAACGTCTCATCCACTAAAATTAATCTATTAAAAAAGCCTTCAGAAGACGGAATTAATAGGAATGATGTACTTAAGTTTTTATCTTAAACTATCTATAAAGAACAAAAAGAACAAAACAATAAAAAGGATTTTGTATCTTCAGCATTTTGACAAAGCGAAATATTTCCTCAAGTTGTGACGCATGGCGGTTATGTTTTTTTCTCTCTTTCTTTGTGTGCCTGTTTGTGTGAGTGTTTTTTAATGTAAACATTTGAGTTTTGCTGTTAATAATTTTATCTGAGTAATCCATTGTTGAAAGTACCTGGTGGTTTCACTAAGTTGACATTTGACTGGCCCTTGTTGCTTACTGTTGTACCTTCTAAAGTGGTTCCTGGCAGTGGCTAAAAATTTAAAAAGCTTTTTAACGTTCTCATATTTTGACACTAGATTTTGGTAGACGTACTGTTCTTTGTTCTGTACTGTTCTACTGTGAAGTAGCAACTCGATGATGACTTTTTGACTGATTCTATCTGTACCTTGATTGTTTATTACTACTGTTATACTGTTTGCCTTTGAAATGCCAACCAGAGCCTTGCATTTAGCTTGTAAAGCCTTGTTATTTAGCTTAGCATGAGCAGTGACATTGAGTGAGTTTCACTAGGGATTCAGTACTCAAAGTGAATCTTTGCATGTTTGTTACAATTTTTATGGGTGTCATGCTACTGTTGACACCAAGTCAATCTCAGAAGCCAGCATGTCATGTTCCTGAATCTCCTTTTAGGACCGTTTACCTTCAAATATCAATTGAGGCACAAGTTCATGCCTAAACTTAGTGATGCATAATAAAAATAATTGGACCACGATTTTTATTATAGAAATTTTAAATGTATCAGAGGTTAACTGGATTTAATTTTATTGCTGATTCTTACAAATAAAAGCTATGCTATTACACTTTTGTTTTTCTTTGTCTGTTAAAAGCTGGCAAATCACCTTGGCTAATGCCTCCTCTTTCTACATTTCTGCTATACTGTGCTTATTAACACGTAACACATTCACTGCTTTACAATCCATTTTCCTTTTTCCTGAAGGGAGTGTGTAGGTTTACTTTATTAATGAATGTAAATTGTTTGAAGGAAAATCAAGTGAAGTTACTGTTCATACTCAATAGTTCTAGTCAAATGTGCTTTGTAGCCTTCGTTGATTCGCTTGCTTACCTTTGGTAGCATTTGCACCTGCTTCTAATTTCTATTTAATTTTCAAATCATCTTAGTTTAAACCTAAACTGAGGCAAAACTCCAACTGCACCTGGAATTGCTGAATTGCACCTTTAATTACTGATTGACTGCTAGAGTGTGCATCACACCCAATTTAGACACTTCAGTATAGTTATTCTGAGCCCAAAAGTAATGTCACAATTATTTTCATGACATTGCTGTATAATGGATGTTTGAAGTTGCAATTTTTCATTTTGAATTGTAAATGATGAACCCTCTCATTCTAGAAGGACATTCTCAGTACAGACATTTAATTTAGGGATGAATATTACTCTCATTTTACAATGACGTTTATTGCTGTGTAAATTTTCTGTTCTATTTTAACTTTTGTTTCCTCAGGTCCCTGGGTATCTGGAGGATCGTTTCAAGCGAGAAAAGCTTCAGGGCTCGGAAAAGTGCTGATACTGGCGAAGTTTGTGGTATGCATGGTACATCTTTCACCTCTTCTCCGGACGCGGTGATTTCTGTCCAATTTGAATCCATGTATGCCACTTGACACATCAACAGATGCTGACTCTTATCAAACCCTGAAAAGTTTAAATGTTTGTACAAAGTATTGCCGCTTGTATAAGATCTAATTAATAAGAATGAAACGAAGAGCTGGCTCCATCATTGCAGAAACACTCCAGGCTTAGGTCTATTATTTGGTCTGACATCAGCCCTCACAAATTTCCTTTTTTGTTTGTTTTTGATGTAACGAGCTGCTGCTATCTTTAGCTTTCAATTTAACAATTGAAAAGCAAAGTTCAACATTTCATTTTCATTTATGTAATATTGTTGACATCAATGTTTTTCCTTTGAAGCTTAAAATATTGGTCTGTATCCCGTCCAGGCATACCTTTTGACTCCATTTAAAGCCAGCTTGTTACCAATGCAATGTGCTACAATTGGACAGCCTGGATGATTTACACATTTTCAAGAACTGAGAGAGATGGTCTGAGGCTAATGGAGTGTGCAATGACCAAAGTGCTTATGGTTTTTTTTTTGTTGGAAAATGGTTATTGTTATGACAATGCAATGTACATATATAATTATTTTGGGGAAGCATATCTTAAGTCTATTTTAATTAACTGACATTCAAAGTACACAATATTGTCATTTTAAAAAAATCTCCCTATTGTTTCAAGCATTTTGCTGTATTGTTTATATTTAAGTTATACGTGTAGATATGTCTTAGCTATTTTAAGTAAAACTTTACTACATAAATATTTATGTGTGTATGTATGCCTGTGTATGTGTGTTTGTATTGTCTTGGGAGTGCACACTTGAGAGTGTGGTGAGTTTATGTGACCCTGTACATAAACTTTTATTTTGTCATGCCAGATTAAATTTTTTTTGTCATTCCTTGATCACCCTTAAAACTTAATCTCAAGACTTTAGTCCATATTCCGCCAATAAGTCTGAGGACAAACTTGATGCGTCTCTTTAATCTGTTCATATAATCCTCCCATTATTCATTAAGCTGTGTCATATGATTGTATAATTGTTTTCCATATGAGGAATCTTGTTAGAAGTGTGATCATGTCTTTCCAACCAAACTTTGTCTATAATTTCAGCACTTTTTGTGTTGTCATTATGTTTTTAATGAGGGATGAAGAGTACAGTCTCAGTCTGCTACCCCTAACGTCAATCCCTTAATGTATAGTTCTTTTTATGGAATAAACAAACTTCCAAAGTTTTTTCACTTGCTGTAATTTGAAACCCTCTCTTTTCTCTAGAAGTGGACATGTGTTTTGCTTAGAAACTACATAGGAATGTAGCTTGAGCATTTTGAAATTTCTAACTTGTTGTTTTACTTTAATCGACTTGATTCCTGATTGCTTCTGCCCGAATTAGTTGACCTTCAATCACTCACAACCAACTTTTCCATGTGAAAAAAGTCCTTACTTGTGGAACTATTAAGTTTGGTTTTTGTCTCCTGTCTCTATACGTGGTCCATGTGTTTGTGTTCCTTTGCTAAAGAAGTAGATTTAAACTGGGTTATGGTTTTGTACACCAAATGCACTTCTGTGTGTCACTGATTTATCCCCCCTCTTGTCCCTTGGATTCTCATCTGGAAGATAAAAAGAGGAACGAAAATGATGTTTTACATTATGCCATCTACCCTTCCGATTTGTGTGTTTTTCTGCTTGTATACAGCAATTCTTAGTAGATAATTAGTACTCCAGAGATAGGTAAACATTGAACTACACGCAATGTGCCATTATCTTCTCCTAATGTCAATGGTAGTGCCCACCATGTCTTGGTGAAGATCAATATGGCAATTTGAACTTGCAATATTGATTTATGTTTCAAAGTTTGACAGCATCTCTTTTATAAAGAACTGTAGATAAATGCTTTAACCTACTGCTGATACATGACATGATTGATGTTTGAAAACAGTGACATTGACTTCTTCTTTTTGTGACTGTTGTAGATTTCAATATTTTGTCCCACTTATTTAGAGAAAAGTTTTACGTGACTGTGTGAACTATTGATACATGCATATCTTTCATTCACTTTACATCTTACCAATTTCCCACCTTTTAAGCTGTGTGAAGAAGACTACCCCTCCTTTGAGTCTGTACTTTAAAAATTCACTAAAATGAACCAATATACATTTCCTGAAGACTTTTGATTTAATTTGAATTATGGTCCTGTGTAAAGCATATAAGCATAACAGTGGCTGAAAACATTTTTCCGTCTACCATATGTTATTAAAAATATTTTAAAAATGAAGAAAAAAAGACAGTATAGACATAAACATTTTTATTAACTTTCTTCTTACTTACTATTTAGTTTTATGTTTCATGACGCTCCATATGAGGCCTTGAATTTTTCTTTACTGATTTTTTTCCCCCTTATGAAGTGAAAGCAGCAAGTTTGAAACATTTCTTTAGTTCAGTTTCTCTGTTGAGTCTTGTGTTACTTGTTTAGATGAATACATTGTGGACCACATTACAGAACCATCATTTCTCCAACTGGAAAAATAGGATTGCATCCATGGTGCTTTGCATGATTTCAAAAAGAAAATTTTGCAGTTTACAATATTGAATCTCTTGACAATCTTAGCTTCCTTTGTGATTAAAGTTTAAGGAAAATTCCGAACTTGCCTGATGTTTGATAAACCTTTATTCCCACTAAAGTAATTTCTAATTGAACTCTTTGCTTACCCTTCCTCGGGATGAACGGCTGCTCTAGGAAATAATCAAATTCAGACAATTAATTTGATTTTAATTACTGATCTCTCACTTTATTAAAGAAAATAATGCTAGTGTTCTAGTGCCAGCGGCTGTCATGCCTTGTGCTGGTTCCCGCCTTCAAACCATCTATGCTTTCTGCACTTGCTGAGTGTTCTCTTATTCAGAATTTGGAACTGATCTCTTTTGCTGTTTGTTGCAAAGCAGGCAGTATTAACCCAGCACTGGGCACACTTTCGCAGCTCACCTTCAAGGGATTCTGAGGCATGGGATTAGTGGGACCTGATTGTTATTGCTTTGTATATTTTATTTTTATTGAAAAGTGTGATAATGATGGTTGTTTCTGTGGTTTCAAAGGATCCACATTTTGTGATATGTAGAGGAAGAAAGAGATTCATTTTTGGTATTGAATGTCTGTGAATTGCCACTTGCAGGATTTAATATTGTTCTACCACACATTTTCTTTCACCATGTTTTTTTTCTGAATTTATTTAGAACACATCTTTTTTTGTTGTGTTGATAAACTTGTTTATCCATGATGATTGTGTCTTTAATTTTACATTTATAAAGTGAAGGATGCAGGACTCTATGTTCTTCTGTATTACCATCTGGCTTCAATTCTTAAATTAGCTTATTGCTGTCAAAGGACTTGTCAGGAGAAATTTGACTTTTGGAAAGTAATGCCGCATGGCATATGAACATGTACTGTCTTGCGCGCCTGCGCTCTTGCATTGTGTGCTTGTCTTCTTAAAAACGAACCATCAAGAAAAGGGATTTGCTAGAATTAATAAAATGGTGAAAAAAAAAACTCGGGTCTCCTCCGTTGTTTGCCATGATATGACTACCGGGTAGTCATTACCCGTCACACCCCTTCATAACAATACACACACAGTGGCTTTTCTAAAATGGCGAAGTCGAACCAAGAAAATTGAAAGCGGGCAGAACACACAGGCGGCGCGCAAGCGGCGCAAACCTCGCACTCTCTCACTCTCACAGGGCGAGCGGCGAACGCCAAGCTGCAGGCCGGGCCTCGTTATTTCCGTGCCGCAAATTAATTGTAGCGAAGCGAGTCATTCCCTGCCAGCAGCAGCAGCCAGCAGCACTCGTGCTAATTGCCACCGTGTGCTGCCGTGCTGCTGCCGGTCGACGAGGCGAGGCGAGGCGAGGCGATAGTCATTGGCACGTCGTGCGAGGAAAGGAGGGGAAAGGGGCGGGGGCGCTCCGGCGTTGAAGCGACAATAAATGAAATGGAACCAGAGCATGAGCGGCGAGCAGAAGATGTGCACAAACTCGTCGCTGCTTAGACATGCCGGCCCGAAAATCGTTTTTCTGGGAGGCCTTCCCCGGCCGAAGGGCCCCTCCCCCTCCGCCAGATCCTAGACCACACCGGCCAGAGCGATCCCGAACAGCGGCCCGTGCGCCGCGCCGCACCGCCGCAGCCCGCGTATGTCTTGAAGGTCTTGTAGCACCTAATTGCAATTATCCGCCGTCCACCCGCCAGACGGGCCGACGGGGCGGCTGCACGTCGGCGAGCACCACCAGGGCCTCGACGGCGGCCTCGACGTGTTCGACAGTGTCCGTCCGGGCGCCTGCAGCTTAGGCAATCGGGCGAGACGCGCGCTCACCTGCCCACCGCGCTGCCTACCCTCCGGGCTGAGCGGCTCGCTGCTGGCCGATCAGCTGACCGTCGTCGTCTGCACACTTGGCCGAGGTGCCGATAGCCGAGGTCGCTGTCTCTTGACTCACCTGTGCGGCGTCGCCATGGCGTCGCGCGGCCAATGCGGGCCACGAGAGCCATATAGAGGCAGAGGCAGGTAGAGCCAGACAAAGCACCCTCCCGTGACTCACTCCCATAGGGCCTGGCTGTGGCGAAGCGCGCCAAGCGCCACGTGCAGCGCCACCAGCCCCTCGATAGGGTTCGATAGCCTCTCGAAGCTCTCGAAGCTAGATAGCCACGGTCGTTACTTTTCATAAAACCCGCGTCACGCCGCCGTGACGTTCGTTTTTACAGAAATTTTTATGTGAACGCGCGCTGCTGCGCTGGTGCCGTGAGGAGGGAGGCGAAAGTTTGAAATTGAATTGGAGATGGGACCCTGCTCTGCTCGCAAGCTTGGCGGGCGGGCGGGCGGGCGGACGCCTCTCTGCAGCCATGTACTGCGAACGCGCGTCCCGTCACGGCCAGCGTCACGTTGTCACGCACGCACGCACGCTCACTACAAGCGCCTCACGCTCGCGCGGGCCGCGGGGCGCAGCGTTTCGGCTCGGCCAGTACAGGCCTCGGAGCCCCGCCCCGCCCCGCCCGCCGCCACACTAGTTCGGCTGTAAATCCGCCAGGCCGTTTCGTTCTTCGTTCCTCCCGGTCCGTTTCTCCAGTAATTGGGAATCTGACCCGCGGCCCACGGCGAGGATGAGTGGCCCTCGCTCCTCGCTCCGTCATTAGCGCGATTAACAGCAGCCGTCCAACAAAAAGGAGAAGAAAAACAGGAATGAATTATTAAACATCCTCATCGCCGCATGCGGCTTGGCGGCTTCGTGGGCCGGACTCCCAGATTCGGACGTGACGGCCGACATGACGCCCGGTGCAGTGAGCAGAGCGGAGCAGAGAATGGCGTGAGGCGTCGGGCTGATTAAAATTCGGGAAAAGCATTCCTCCTTGTTTCGCGTTCTCGCTATGGTTTCTGCGGCCTGCGAGTGAGTGCCTTCGTCGCTCTGTCTCTCTCGCTCGCCTGCGGGCCGTGCGGGACGCGCCGTGATTGCGAGAGAGACAGAGAGAGATGAAGCTGCGCGGAACACGCTGCACGCACGGAACGGCGGAGGGTCCGGGTCCACGCCACCCGAGATGGGCGTTGTTGGGCCCGGGCCGCGTTACAGTGTCGCCGCTTGGCTGCTCCCCAAGTACGCCCCGCTTTTCCCCAACGCCGTGCCGAGGTAGGCAGCGCCTCCAGCACGCCAGGCCTCGCCTCGCCCCGCCCCGCCCCGCCCCGCCCCGCCCCGCCCCACCGCGCCCCACCCCGCCCCGCCCCGCCCCGCCGCGCCGCGCCGCGCCACGCCACGCGCCGGTACAGCGCGGCGTGTAGAGCAGGCAGAGCAGGCAGATTCCGGGACCAGATTAGAGTCATTATGACCGGGAATCCGTTAATCGTGGCCGAGGCGGCCGAGGCGGCCGGGCAGGGAAGTACCTCGAGTACTTCGAGTGCCCGGGGGACATGTAGGCGAGGGAGGCGGCGCGCCGCACTCGCCGCACTGGAAAAGAAAGGACTTGTTGAGGGTGGCGACACCGAGGACTGGGCGGGCAATCGGCAGTAAAAAAACGTTAACGCTAACGCTAACGTGAAAGCAGATGATACTTATGAGCATGTTTATTGAAATGTATGAATGTGACATTTTGTCAATTTCTTTCAAAGAGTAAACACTCGGAACTCTTTTTTTGACAAATTTCTTACACATGGTAATTCATGAAAATGTCAGTTTTAGTATAACTTTTGAATATCCTAACGTGCCATTGTTTTGTGTTAAACATGTTCGCGATGACGGTTGGACACTCCGATACCACTTGTGTTGGGTATCATTTTCGTTGTTTCAACGCGAGGATGCACAATTTGGTGGCTAATCACATAAATGCTCAATACCCGTAAAAGTTGTGTTCGGTACTAGGGCAAGGCGCCTTGCGGCACGCGGCGTGTCAGCCACATCTCCAAGCGGGACCGGCCTGCCGGCGCGCCACCCGAACCCGACCTCAAGATAGATAAGCAAGAGTGGCGCACACTGCCGACTGCCGACGCGCCGCTTCTCGAGAGGGGCAGGGGTTCGGGGAGTTGGGGGGGGGGGGGGGCTGCACTATGCGTTCTACGCACTCAAGGCTCAAGTGCGTGTGTGTGTAGACTGCTGCGGGGTGTGGCGGGGCGCGGCGGGACGTGGCGTCTCGGCAGGGGATGGGGCGCGGGGGCCAGCTGCGCGATGCGTGCTATAGCAGTGTCTCGTGACGAGAGGAAGGGGAGCGGCACCGCACAACGTGAGGGACGCACTTCATGAGAACTAGATAACTGGGTGTCGAGGTCGCGCGCGCAACCCGAGCCCCCGCAGGCGCCCCGATTCATGGTGCGGCGCGCGACGGCACGGCGCGGCACGCTGAGGGCCCTCCGCTCATAATCTTCTCGGCAGGCCAGCCAGCCGCTGCCTTGCCGGCGAGGCGCGCGGTCTCTTCTAGGCTTGCTAGGCAGGCAACGAGGCAACTGCTGCCAGGCTAGCCAGAAACTCGGTACTCTCTGCACGAGAGTACAAGCACGCTGATACGTGAACGTATCATCTGCTAAAAAGCATTGTTGTTGTTCATTGAAGTATTTCGACAGCACTGGGGGTGGTCTCGCCGAAAGCGAAGAAACAAATACAGAAGAAGAGGTCCGAGGTGGCGCGGGCTGGCCGTCCCGATGTGCGGCGTGCGTGCCGTGCGTGTTGCGGCGCGCGGCCTGCGGGCGGCGTCCATGTTCGTGAGGGTCTCGCTCTGGTTGAGCGTCGGCAGACGAGAGAGGGGCGCGGCACCAGCAACGCACGGCCAGGGGGCCTATGGGGGCCTAGGGGGGCCCGACGCAGAAACACGCCGGCAGGCAGGCAGCCATGGGACGCTGGTTTCTCGTCTCGGTCCGCCACGGCCACGTGGCCACGCGTCGTGTCCCGTCGATAGAAAGATCGGCAGATATTGCGAGCATTCCAAATAGGTAGAGCAGAGCAATAAGGAACGATGTGGTGAAAGCCCTCTGCGCGGCACTGCAAAGGCACTGGAAGGCGTGTCATATCGTGGCCTCCGCCCCGACCGCCCCCGCCGAGTACAAGCAGAGCAAAAAGCAGAGCAAGCCGCGCAAGCCGCGCGAGCTCAGCACCTCGCGGCCGCGGCGGCGCGGCGGCCCACTTTCTGGCCCACCAACGTGCACCCCGCCTGTGCCTGGCCATGCCCGCCATGCCCGCCATGCCCGCCATGCCCGCCATGCCCTGCGCGGCCTGCTCCGCCTCGGCGTGCTGCACCGCGGTCTCGGCGGTCTCGGCGGCCACGGCGAGCACAGCATGCCGACCGGACCGCACCGCAAATTCAAGACAAATAGTGTCTGCACGTTTCCAGTCACGAGGCAGCAGCGAGCAACAGCGAGCTCGGTGAATTTCCTCCAGATGCCTTTCCCTCTTGGATACCCTACACCGTGAACCGAATTCGGATTAAATGTCACCCGGGGGCACACTTCACAAGCAAAAGCCGTGACTTTGATTTCTACAAACTGGGGCAGTCTGGATGATCGGAAGTTTGAATGAGCCTCGATTCCCGGATTTTGTGACGTCTCATGACGGCTGCCTCGCGCTCGCTCGTGCTGCGGGCAGTGCGGGCAGTGTGGACACTTCCCCGAAGGCTGAAGGCTGAAGGATCCTCCTCCTCCCTTCCCTCCTCCGGCTCTATTTCCATTATGTTAAGGCTGCGGCTGACGTGGGGTGCGTTATCGTCGGTTCGATTATCTGTGTCGCCCAATAAAGCCCTCTGCAACGCGCCAACACGCCACTCGAGCAGAGCCACCCGCCCAGGCCACCCCCCGCGATTTCGGCATTCCGACGTCGTGAGCCCGACAGCCTGACAGCCTGACACGGCCGAGCAGTGTAAGGGAGTCGGAGGAAAGGAGCAATCGAACCGAATCCCGTCCGCCCGCCGCCTCGCACCTCACGTATGTACAGCTCTCACAGCACCCTCCCCTCCCCTCCCCTCCCCTCCCCTCCCCTCCCCGCCCCGCCCCTTGCGGCACGCGCTGCGCGCTCTGCGCTCCGGCGGACGAGCGGCAACCCTACACACGTCCCTCTCCCCTCCCCTCCGCCGCCGGCCGGGCGAGGGGAAGGGAGGGGAGGGGCGGCGGCACCGGCGGCCGGCCAGTGCTCCCTCCAGCGCACTCCAGCGCGCCGCCGGCTGCCGGCAGCGGCAAGCCCTGCTCTGCCTGGCTCTGCCCGCGGGGGGCGGGGCGGCGGGGCGGCGCGGTCGCTGCCTGCTCGGTCTGTCCGGACTTCCCTTCCCTTCCCTTCCCTGTTCCCCGGCCGGCCCGGCTTTGGCTTGGAAGCGCTGCTGACTCTGGCTGAGCGCGGGGCGCGGAGTGGCGTTGCGTTCAGTGTGCACGCTGCGCTGAGACGAGACGGTGCGCTGTGCGTCGCGACGGTGCGTTCGGCTGCAGCTCTAGAGACGACTCGAACCCAAATTCGGCCGCCCGAAGCGCCCGAAGCTCCGGCCAGACCCACGCGATCGAGCCTTACGCAGCCTTCGCTTTTATCGCAACGTGCGTGTGTGTGTGTGTGTGTGTGTGTGTGTGTGAGTGCGAGTGTGTGAGTGAGTGTTGTGGCGTACAGTGCCGGTACCCAGCGGGACTACCCAGTGCCCGCCCCGCCCTCGGCTTGCAGTGTGAGTGACACTGCCAGTCTGCCAGTGTGGAGTACCGGGGACCTGGCTGTGGACGTACTTCGTAAACTTCGTACTCTCCCCCCGTCCCTTCGCACCTGCCAGGTGAGTCAGATGACGGGGCAGCGGAGCAGCCGGGTCACGTGACGGAGTCAGCTGGCTGCCTCCAGGCCGCCGGGGAGGCAGCAGAACAACAACATCATCATCAATGTCAACAACAACAAACAACAACAACAACAACAAACAGCAGAGGACATGGAACGACCGTCACCTGAACTATCAGAAATTGTGGAGCGGAACGAGGCAGCTCGGTGTGGCTGTCCGGAGGGGCCGGGGGGCCCAGGTGTCCGTGCAAAGGCCAAATAAAAGACAGCTGGCTCTGCCTGGCTCTGCCCCGCTCTGCGTTTGGGGCAGGGCTGTAGGGCTGCGGCGGCAGGGTGGAAGGGCCTGTCGCTGGGGTCCCCGTCGTCGGCGTGTATTTTTGGCCGGAGCGCAAGCAGGGCAAGCGCAGGGCAAGCAGCGCAAGGCGGCGTTGGAGTGGATCCTCGGTCGGGGAAGTCCGCTCCGCGCCGCGCCCGAGGAGGGCCCGAGGACGGACCGCCGAGGACCCAGTGGCGGATCCAGAGGCGGCCCATGGGGAGGGGGGCAAAGTAGCACTTTTTGCCTACCTTTCAGGCGGCTATCTAGGGGCTATGGGGGGGGGGGGGCGGGGCAAAAACCCTGCCCCCCTCCGGTATCCGCGCCTGCGAGGACCTGCCTCAAGGAGTAAGAGTTGCAGTTGGAGGGCAGAGTCGGACGGTCCAAGTGAAACAAGAAAACGAATTGAAATGCGAATGTTGTCTTCACACCGGGTGCACCTGTGCTTTGCGCGAAGCCCACCCGCGGCTCCTGGCGCTGCGGGAGCGGCGGCACGGCGCGGCACAGCTGGGGGTGGCTACGCCTTGCTACGCCGCTGTGCCCTTGCGTCCGCCCGTCTGCCTGTCTGTCTGTCTGCCTGTCTGTCCGTCCGTCCGCCGTGCAATGGCTGCCCCGATTTGATTCCCCCTTTGGCAATATTATCACGGCGCTGCCCGTGGCGAGCTCATCACGCTGGGCCGGGCAGCTCAAGGGGCCTAAGTGCACCGCTCCGTTACCAACGGTTAATGTAGGCCGGGCCGGGGCGGGCGGGGCGTATGGCGCCGCGCGCAGCGTCCGGTGCGGCCGTCTCATCTCCGTCGCGGTGGTTGGCGGCCACCGGCCTGCCACCGGCTGCAGCACGGCGCTGCTGGGCGCGCTGACGTCAGGGAAGTCCACCTCGCCGATTTGAATGCGGTCTGGTCCGCGCCGCCGAGGCCCCAAGTCCGCGGCCCGCCGCCAGATCGGACCCACTGGAAGGGCGGTCTCCTGAGAACGAAAACGCGACCCGGCGGAGGGCAGACTCGAACCCGCGACCGAGCGACGCGAAGCAAGCTGCACTCCCGCTGCGCCACGCCGATCCGTCAGACCAGACCGCCAGGCCGTGGCCAGCCCGTCACGCCGCGGCCGATACATCAGCTGGCCGCTAATGACTGGACACGCCTTTCTCTCTCTCTTTGCGACTCGAGAGAAAAAAGAGAGAGAGAGAGAGAGAGAGAGAGAGAGAGAGAGAGAGAGAGAGAGAGAGAGAGAGAGAGAGAGAGAGAGAGAGGGGGGGGGGGGGGCGCTCCTCTTGCTCGCGTCCTGTTGGAATCGAGACCACGCCGAGGCATTCCTCTAGGAATCGAGGAAAAATTCAACTCGCTGTGCGCGGCTGCACGCGTGCGTGCCTGTCTGTCTGTCTGTCTGTTGGTCTGTCTGTCTGTCTGTCACGCGGTTGGCACCCGTGGCGTGCTGGCGTGCGCGGCCCGGCACGCCGTGTGTCTGCGTTCGGCAGAGAGGGGAAGTAGACCGAAGTAGGGTTCGCTCCCCCGATTCGTTGTATTATTTTCCGAAACTCCGCGCCGCGCCGAGCCACGCCCCGGCCGTCCCGTCCGGGCGTTGCCGTCGGCAGTCGGCAGTGCGGGGGTGTGGTAGGGCAGGGCCGCCAGCCAGCACCCCAGGGCACCGCACCCTCTCCCTCCCCTCCCCTCCCGGTACCTCCACGGTCGTCGGCCGTGTCTCAAGTGGCGCGGCCGCCCAGCTGCCGTGCGACGTCGCGCCTCATTTGGGCGACACCGAGACCATGTCGACGCGGGCCTCGGGGTTGTAGCCGAGTCCGTCGAGGAGGACGGCGACGGCGGCAAGACCCGGGGCTTATCGGCGGACTGGCTGGCTGGCGCAATCGCATCGACGTTAGGCCCTTGCGTTCGCTAAGCCCCGCGAGCGCAGCGGGCAGAGCGGGCCAACGGACGGGGAAAATAAAAGTGAGAAAAACGGAGGCGAGTTTCGGACCGTCGTTCTTGAAGAACCATTAGGTGGTGGCCCGCTCGGCGCTCGGCCGTCTCGGCAGGCAGGCGGGGTGCAGTGCAGTGTTGCTGCCGGGCCTGCCGGGGTGCGAGGAAATGAAATTGGGAGGGCATCGACGGGGCGGGGCGAGGCGGGGCGGGGCGGGGCGGGCGGGGCGGGGCGAGGCGGGGCGGGGGGGCGGGGCGGGGAGGGGCGGGGCGGGGCGGGGCGGGGCGGGGCGGGGCTGGCCGGAAATGAGGCAAGATGAAAGGGAGAGACGAGGAAATGGACGCAAAATGGAGGCTGGCTGCCGCAAATTTGGGATGGCCCCCGTCGCGGCTCCCTACGGCCCAGCGCGGCCCGCCCCTGCACATGTGCGCGTCGCCGCCGACCCCTCTGCCTGCCTTGCCCGCCTTGTCTGCCGGGCTGGCGGGCTGGCTGGCTGGCTGGCTGGCTGGGGCGCCGACGGGCTGCTCTGGCTGCTCCCTCAAAGAACAAAAATCTCGTTGCAATTTATGGCCACAGAAAAGTTTGCTGGTAAAGGGGGAAAGGGGGAGGGGGAATACCGCCGTCTGCGCTGCGATGATGAGCGGCATCGCTCACAACACAGAGAGGCCAAGAGTGGGAGATGTAAAATTTAGTTTTGTCATTTCACCCTCCCGTCCGTATAAAGTTCACGTCGAGAAATCTGTGCGGATGTGGCCCGGCGCCCGGCGGCCCGACAGGGCCTTCTCAAAATTTATCAATCCTCCGCCCCCCTCGCTATCAAACATGCCCCCCCCCCCTTTTCTCACACACACACTCTAACTCGCAGTCCGATAGTATCGCTGTACGTTAATTGAAGGATTACTAAGGCAAAGCAAGGTGCTGTGTTTGGTTTACGCTTTCTTCCTCCTCATATGTTGCCGTGCACACACACACGCACACACACACACACACACACACACGCACACACACACACGACGCATTTAATGTTTCGGAGCTTGCTCCGCCCGGTTCTTAATTAAAGCGCGTCTCGTTCTGGTTTCCAGCACAAAATAAAGCACGCAGTATTGGGGCGGACCGTCTGTCTCTCTCGCACCCGCACGGAACTCGCGGAACGCTGCGTGAGTGCGAGAGAGACAGAGCACTGTTGAGCCTGCTGGTGCAGCTGGCGGCACCGCCGCGGAGATTTAGCGAGATTTAAGACAAAGTTTTGTGAAGTCGACGTGAGGGGAGGGGGCGCGGTTTTATGCCGATTTATTTGGGGGCGCCCCTCCCCGCCGTTTGCGGGCAGCTTGTTGGCAGTGTGGGTGTCGGAGCGACATGTGGAGGCTTCGGGACCGGCACGAGCACCTTGCATGCAGAGTATTCAGGGTAGTAGTCGTTCTTCTGGACGAGTCCCGTTGCAAAAGGTTGCACGCACACACACGCACACACACGCACACACACGCACACATGCACACACACGCACACACACGCACACACACACGCACACACGCACACACACGCACACACGCCTACACGCGCGGTACAGGCACGCTCGGCACGCACGCGGCCGTGACGGGGTGTCGGCCGCGCGTCGCGTTTCGCGGCCCGGAACGTGAGCTGCGAAATGAAATGAAAGCAGTCACCAGGTGGCGTGCCGGCCGCGTCGCCGTGGCGGGGGTGTCAACAGGTGTGTTATGGATGCAGTCATGAATGCGCCACTTTTTTTTCCCCAGCCGATCCGCAGAAGCGGCGGATAACGTGTTTGTCGGAAAAGTATCGTTTTTTTTTCTTCTCCTCGCGGGCGGCAAACTGCTGCCGCTGCTCCCACCGACGGAAGCGCTCCACTTGTGGTGGTTCTTCTTCGACCCGGCCGGTCCCACACGGTCCCACGCGTGGACACCAAGTGGACCCAATTCCAGGCGCAAAGAAACCACCGCGCCGCCTCCTTGATGGCCAACGAGTACGTATACAGTGGAGGCGCGGCCGGCCGGCGCCCAGCGGAGTCATGAGCGAGTTGGCTATGCTGTGCCTGTGCGGCCTGCGCCGCACAGTGGGCCAGAAGACCGGTGGAGGCGGCCAAAAGTCTAGACGCGCGTTGAGCTCCAGAGTCGCTAAACAGGACTCGAACCGAACGTGTGACCCCACCAATCGATTCCTCGTTCGGAGAGAAATCTATTGGTGGGGTCACACGTTCGGTTCGAGTCCTGTTTAGCGACTCTGGAGCTCAAAACGTGTCCAGAGTTTTGGCCGCCTCCGCCGGTCTTCTGGCCCACTGTGCGCCGTGGCGCCTGGTGGCGCCGATTTCCGGGCAGCCCGCCGTGACGACTTTGCTCGATCCCGTGAGTCAGCGCGTTACGTGGTTGGTGGACGAGCCGCGGCGTGACTCATGCCTGACTAACTCCACGGACACGACGGCGACGGCCACGTCTGGGCGGCAAGGGCGACGGGGACGATCCGTTTTCACGGCGATGCTGCTCCAGTAATGCCATAGCCCGCATAGGCCGCGTCTAGACCGGCAAACAAACTCGGCGTCCGTGTCTGTGTGTGGATGTTGTAAGGGGGAGGCTCTGAGCCGCGCCGCGCGCAACTCCCTGCGCAAACATGCTCGCCTGGGAATGCGTCCCCCGAGTCTAACCGCGTATGTCGTCTGATCCCCCCCCCTCCCCGCTCCGACTGTAGCTAGCTGGGCGAGGACATTAATAAAGAGTCCCAGTTTAATAAGGGGACTCGCTTTGATGCCGAACGAAATTGGC